GAGAACAGGTGCAGTAAATGGAGTACAAGGAAACTCAAGTCGTATCCATCATCCCCACTTTGGGATAACCGCAGTTGTTTCCAGGAATGATAATTTTTGACACGAGTAGAATTTTTTTGTTAAAAGAAAAAAAACTTTGTGTCACTGCCCAACTCGACTGGGGATCAATATTGACATCCCTAGATGCAACCAATATCAAAATTCAACACGAACATAAATTTTCATCAAAACCGCATCAATAGAATGAGAAACTTCTATCATTAGATTTGAATCCTCATTGTGTATCTATTTTCTAATAACATGCTAGCTGGAATGCACCAGTACCAAAAAAAGGAAAACGAAAGGAAAATTGTCCAAAAGCTTTCTTGCACTTAAAACAAACAGGGAAAATGAGATGCCCCATCTCCATTTGTTTCATAAAATATAAAATCCGAATAGCCCAATAAAAATCTCAATCAGGAGGCCGGAGCAGCCATATTGCACGCACGAAACTGAACCCCCTAAAAATAACACTACCAGGCAGATAGACATGAAACTCTGAGCTCAACCTTTCATTATATATTTTCCTCTTGTTAATTTTGATAATCTTAATTTACAGGCTTATACATTCACCGTATAGAATTGTGTTGATTCTTGTTAGAGAATCTCTGACAAAGTAATTCTACTTCATGTTTGTCCCGTGTAATTAAATCATTAATCATACCACCAAAATCACATGTGACAAAAGAATTCTTTAGTGGTTTGGTTTTTCTTGTCATTGTCCATTGCAAATGGAGCTGGAAGAGTCATTGTTGACAATTCTCCTGGCATAGTGCTAATAATGGACTAGATCAAAATGGCTCAATTAAATTCTAGTGCTTCTTCTATTAGTGAAGTTTCTAGAAAAAAAAAAAATAAATCAAACGGCGCAATGCACCTTGGGTCGCTACGGAAACAGCCTCCTTGTATAATTACAAGGGTAAGGTCAGCATACAACTAACCCCCCAGCCCCCAGACCCCAACCTCATACCCCAACCTGTTGGGAATATACTGGGTATGTTGTTGTTGTTGTTGTTGTTTGGTTTTTCTTGTCAGAATTAACATAAATATGACCTTAAAATCAGCAAAACTAATGCTATTTACAGAATCATGGGTTAAGAAAACCATAACGAGATATTAGTATATCACTACCATTAACTAGATAATACACCATCCCAATGGTAGTAATATCTGCGCTGGAAGGGGAAAAAACCACAATCATGACAATAATGTTTTTTTTTTTTAAGTACACAACATTATAGTTACCTGAACATATAAATAATATATAAGTTTCATTAATCCCCAATTAAAATATTACGTTGTGACAGTTAAAGTGTGATTATGATAGTAACATGTTTGTTTATTACCTTTTCATCCTCATCCTTCACAGCAAGTTGTATCATGTAATCAAGAGCCATCATAAACCCCGACTCCATCTGGTCAACTCGCTTGCCAATAACCCCCTGTGCAGCCAAATGCACTGCCACCTCCTCCAAGGCCTCATCCATGTTCATATCCTCCAACTGCTCATGCAAATATATGTAAAACACGAAGTTAGAACACCTGCTAGTGAAGTTCAGAAGCAAAAAAATAATGTAATAAATAAATGAACAAATAATAATAGGATGCATCAACAAACCATAAACCAATGGAAACTTCAGATACATTTTTCTTTGGTTCGGGGTGAGAATATGTGTGGGGAAAATGAAAAAAAAAATGTACAGAGAAAGCATCAGAGGTTTTCTTCAGTAATTAACCTGATGTTTCTGCATAGAATCCGTAAAATTGTATACCTGGAAGGTCCAAAGGAAGCAAACCCTACCACAAATCAATAGTTCCCACTGAAAGTCTATACTTTCTCAAACTTGATTTGCCCACTAAAATAGTTTACACACCAGGAAACTAGCTCCTAAAATGATTTATACAATCTAAAAGACATAGAATTTCAACACACATGGTCCAAGTATGTCAACAACTCTTTCCACAAGATACCTTCAATATCCCAAGTTATAAATTCCAAGTTCAAGTTTTGAATAGTCCAGAACATTAAAAACAATTATGATAGGACTCCAGTTCCCAGTTTCCACTAGAAATCATTTGAAGGAGATAGTTAAACAGTAAGAATTTACTTGGTCATGTTAGCTAAAAGTTTAAACCATAGAAGGCAGACTATTGGGAAGGAACCAAGTTCCTTCGGACCTTTTGAAACGTAAGAGTTAACTAAAAAGTTACGCTGTGCAATTTGGCTTGAAACGTATAATGGCAAAAACCTAATATTCTAGCGTATACCAGTCTCTTAAAGCAAAAAAATCAAGCCCGGTGATATTTATTTATGCCCTAAATAAAAACTGAATATACAGCATAAACCACAGGACAAGCACACGGCTAACATTATTGACAACGCCAGCCAAGCAACTCGCTAATACATGAACCTATAAGCTCAACATTGACGGAAGAAAGAGGTAATTACAATAACCAGGGAGAAGAAGAAAGAGGTAATTACAATAACCAGGGAGAAGATTAATGAATCCCAACACAGTACAGAGCCGAATACTATAGGGCTTTGGTATGAAAGAAAGAAAAAAAAAATACGAAAAGGTAAAAGGTCAAAACACTTACGAGCTTCACCATTTCTTGTAGAACAGATGTGACCTGGTCACCACCTTTGAGCAAGGCCTCGTATTCAGCAGCACTCCACTTTTCGTCTCCTGTTCCCTTTGTATCTACGCTGCCATCGGCAGAGAATTCATCCATCGGAAATCCATCGGCGGTGGCAACATGAGCGACATAGAGGGGTCGGAATTTAGCCCGTTTATTAGGGAAATGTTTGAGGTGAGAGCGAGAATAAGATACTGTTAGTGAAAATAAGGGAGTCGGTTTCAAGAGGGATGTGGAGGTGAAGGCGCTGAATGGAACGGCGATAGAAGCCATGGAGAAGCAGACTCGACTCTGGTTTAGTTTTACCGACTTAATTTAATTATCCAAAAGCTCCAATAGAAATATCCGTTTCATAATATGAGACGGATCCTTAGTGATCCATACCATAGTACATAACCGGCCCGGTTTACTAGGGCCTTGATAAGGGGCGAATTATTATTTTTTATTTATTTATTTATTTATTGTCAAAAAATAGATTTCGTTAACAGAAAAATAAATAGTTACATACTAGAAAGTAGGTAAATAACCGAATAAGTCAGCTACTTGACTAAATTTAGTTTGGAGGACTAACCACATAAGTATCTAGCCCGAGGGAGCCTAAAGTCAACCTAAACACATAATAATAAACTAAAAAACTAGAAAACGAAACAAAGTTCCCAACTGGAGAATTCAACTATTTCCAACGGGAGAATAACACCAAACTAAAATACACGACTACGCAAGAACACAAAAAACACAGGGACAAAAAGAAAAAAAAACACAACACACAAAAACAAAAGGAACTGACGCCCACCCACCAGGCAGGAAAATCCAGCTCCAAAGCAGCCCCAACTAGCAACCAAGCGCAAAATCTCGAGAGAAGATGCTAGAGCTACAGCCTAAACACGACGGAACCAGAAACTCCCTAATGGGCTAACTAGAACCGGACCACATATCCAACACCCGCCATCGGAAATTTGCAGACCTGCCTAGGTCGAACCACTGCACAGCCCCTCCCACGCACACACCGAGGCCGGACACGCAACCACACACGCACCACCAGAGGACCGCACCTTCCCAACACCAGTGAAGGTCGGACAGAGGGGGACCAAGGCTAGACCGCCACGACGAACCTCCACCAGGATGCCCACGGCGTTCGTCGGATCCCAGTCGCCGACGAAACCCATCGTTTCTCACACTCCTTGGCACTCGGGAAGAGAGGCGGACCACTATGGAGAGGATGAACCGAGAGAACGCCATAGCCGCGCTCTTTCGAGCCCAGGGCGAGCCAGCTGCTCGCCGAAACTGCAGGAACCAGGGTCGTCGGGGGGGAGGCACAAACGAGAAAGAAGAAAAGCTAGGGCTGGGCGACGGGAATTGGGGATTTTATCTGGAGAGAAAAAAAAGAATAAAAAATGGGGCTATATATTTTTAACAATTATATATTTGAATTAATGTACATAAAAATAGAAAGTTGTATTATAAAATTATATATAATAATAGTGCAATATGAATTATAAAGTTTCAAACATTGACAGTAACAATTTAGATTGAACGCTCTCTCAACTCATGTATTTCATTAATGATTGATGCAATACTAATAATTTTGATATTTTTTCTTTCCACTAAGCATATCTTATATGGACTTCTTATTCAAGAATTACCAATTTCTATGTTTTCACATATTTTCCATACATTCAATTTATTTAAATTCGAAAAAATATTATACAAAGGTGTCAAAATAGTATAATTTGTAGTTGAATTATTAGTAGAAAGAGTTATACAATTATTATTTTAATATAAATGTATGAGTTTATGTGAAAAATAATATACTTATCATATATATATATATAGAGAGAGAGAGAGATGGGATCAGATAAGAAAGGAAGATAGTGAAAGAAATGAGAATAAATTTGGATCATTAGATACATCATATTAATGGTTAGGATTAAGTCAAATTTTGGTCAATCATTAATGGAAATATAATAAATACGTAGATATATGGTGGTCAATTATATAGATTTGACCACTAATTAAGGATAATTTAGTCATTTATTTAAAACACACCAAGTGGGACCCACCACCTCCTACATTCAACCATATCATCTATCCCTACCCGTCAGCCACCTACCCACCCACCAACAACCCCACTAATTCTCTCTCTCTCACTTATAATTAAAACACACACTACACACACACACACACTTCTTCACCCCTCACATCGTACAGACTCACACAGACACTACCAACCAACTGTCGTCCGTTGTCAGTCGTTCGCTGCCCGTCGCCCGCCGCATGCCGCATGCCGAATGAACACTACCGCCGCCTGTCGGATGCACAACACTTCAGACACCGTCGGACAACACCATTTGCAGCCTGTTGAAATCCGACCGCCAACACCAAACCGCCGCCGTCGGTCCTGCGCCACCGCCACAGCCTGCAATTGCTCCACCCCCGACCTGGTCTGCCATTTCCCCGATCGGACAGCCACCGATATGGACACTTCGTCGTCGACAGCCATGTGCTATTCTCCATCGTCTGCCTCCGGCTCCTCCGTCAAACGCCTCCCGCGACGCCGCAACGTCTCTAGCAACCCCACGCGAATCGTCAGAGCTTCTGTCGCCGCGCGAGTCCAAGTCCCAGTCGACTCGAGCCGGCCATGAGATCTCGCCTGGGATGACTCCGACGACACTGTTCCGCCGTTCAAATTCCATAGACACGGTCGGGCTGCGGATTCTGTCACCTCCGGCAAAGGAAGAGTTGATTGGGGATGAAGATGGTGGCACTGTGTGTGAGGCTGCGACAGATTTAGACATTTTGTTAGGGGTGATTTAGTGGGAATTAGGTAATTTTTATGGACAAAAATGTAATTTTTAAGAACTTTATTTATGATGTAGTTTAGTTAATGGGTTAAATATACATTTTATTACAAACTATAATAAATGTAGAATATTTGTTCAAAAAAATTATATAATATGTGTATGGATATGCATATTACATATTCATACAGTTCATGTTAATTGATTGAATAAATATATAATTTATTAAAAATTTAATAATTATACAATTATGTACAGTGCTGATATGGGATATTATATATATTAGACCGGTCCAGCGGGTCGGTAGAATAAATCGGACTAATTGATCTGGTTGAGCGGAGTCTACTCTGGTCGATGGCAAACAAAGGTCAAGATCACAGAAATCTTGGGGAAGCTAGCATGTCTCAGCTTCACAGAAGACTCGGTCGAAGGATTCAGTGGTCGAAGCAAATGGTCGTGAGATCAACCATCCTTTACGCTAGGGGCAGCTTAACAGCCTGCCCAGATCTGGTCGAACATAAGAGCCTCTAAGGGAATCTCATATACACGTGTGTGGGATACGTGGCGCGAGCTAATTGGTCTAGGTCAATAATTGTTTCTAACACATTGCTGACACGCCTACCTAGGGGTTGTACTATCAGGCAGGTCGGGCAGCCCTAGGGGAGCCATCTCAATAAATCCGGGTAGCTTCTAGAACAAGTATCTCACCCCTATATTCCATTAACACTTATACATATTCATCTTCTTCTCAAGACTGACTTGAGCGTTAGAGGCTATTCACCGGAAAATCCCTCCGGCGTGAGAGTTTCGTGCAGGTTTCAGCTTTCTACCGGTGAGAGGAGTAAGATCAAGACGGTTCTCAGCCGGTCGGAGTGTCACACATGTATTATTGACGTCGTCTGTGGGACTTCTGTTCGAAAAGTTGTGTTGTGTGTGTAGCCATGGCGGATGGAGTTCCTCGTGTGAATCTGCAGTCGTCGTTCGATGAGGCATGGACGACGGTTAGACCGTTCGGAGCAGACCCTCCTTCGGGCTTCTCCGGACCTTTGCGAACGCCGATAACCTCGATACCTGTTCCACAAGGTGTATGGGGACCATCGGCAGTTCCAGTGGCGGAGGAAGGCACAAGCCGCGCACAGGAGGCTCGTGCAGTAGCACCAGCAGTGATTCCTGCACCGTTGCAAGCAGATTAGACCGGGTTGCAGCAGGTTAGACCAACAACGCAGGTAGTGGCGCCGCCCATGAAGGAGAACCAGCATGGTGGCCAGCAGATGGTGACTCTGACCAGGGAGGAGATGCAGAGGATGATGGCCAACGCGGCAGCGCAGGCAGTGCAGCAGGTTACCAACCACACCTCTCAGGCTGCAACTGCGCTAACCACGGTGGTCGGAGCCCAAGATGAGGATGTGTCGAGCTATGGCGGAGATGGTGACCCCAGAGATAGGGAGATGGAAAGGATGGCGGAATAACTTCGTATCGCAGGAGAGGATGGATGGGAGCGAGAGAGGCGTGCTCGAGGGCATCCACTTTCAGGGGAGATCTTGGTTGTACCATTGCCAACAAATTTCAAGGAGATGAATCGTACTTATGATGGATCGACCGACCTGGCGAGACATGTGAGGGCATTTGACTACATGGCCGTCTTACACGGATATTCTGATCCCGTTAGCTGCAGGGCTTCTATATCGACCTTGCGGGGAGGTGAACTTGATTGGTTTCACCAACTTCGCCCTTAGTCGATCAGAGACTTTGAGGATCTCGCGGCTAAGTTAACAAATCAATATTCGAGCGCTGTGGTCCAAGAGAAGACGTATCTTACGTTGATGGCGATAAGACAAGGAGAAAAGGACTCCCTACACAAGTATGTTGCTCGATATAATCAGATGTGCTTGGAAATCCCAACAGCTGTGGACGAGGTCAAAGCGGAGGGCTGATCAGGAGTTTGCGACCAGGACCTTGTCGAGCATCGCTGGCCAAAACTCCTGCTAGAACTTATGATGAAGTGCTGAAGAGGGGCAAGAAGTATAATGACCTAGAGGAAACCGACGCTGAGTTCGCCAAGCTGGAGAAGATGGCGAGGCCTGAGCCTAAGAAGGGGAGGGCGAATTCGCCAAGGAGAGGTTCGCCTAGGAGAAGTTCACCCATGAGGGGCCCACCTAAGAGACCGTCGCCTAGAAGGGATAGACGAGGACCATTGCAGGATAGGCAAGAGGATCGATGGGAAGGTCGGCCTATTTTATCACACGGCTAGAGATACAACAATTCACACCCCTAAATGCTAAAGTGGAAGAGGTACTAGTGGCGATGGAGGAGAAGCTGGAGAGCAGGGAAATCACTTGGCCGAAAGCGAGGTTTGAAGGACCTACCCAACCCAGGTCGAGCAAGTATTGTCGATTCTATAGAGACTATGGACATACCATGGAGAATTGTCGACATCTGAAGAATGAGATCGAGCGCCTTATCAGGGTGGGGTACTTGAAAGAGTTTGTTATACAGGATCGA